AATTATCTCAGGATCCGGACGGTTTCCATACAAGAGTTGAAGACGTGAATTTTTCTTAAAATAAAGCTTGAGAGATTTTTCGATTCTTTGCTGATATATGCTGAAAAGTTCCGTTTTAATTTCGCACGATCCCTTACGACAGGGAAGGCTTTTACTAGGGCAGTCTTGAAATTTTCGTAAGTATAGGTGGGACTTCCTGCTTGACCCAGAGACTTCTGCCCTAACATTTGAACCAGTTAAGCGCTTGGCCCCTCAAATCGCTGGTAGCAAGGTAACTTTTTGAAACTTGTGCACAGGGTAGAGCATGAAGTGATCATCCAATTTTCCCAAAAAACTGGTTACCGGTGAGTTTCCATTAAATGTCTGGTTTCATCGAAGCGCGCATGGTCTGGACGATGTAACCAAATCCTTCCAGGGCGGCAGCTGGCATTTCTGGATTCTGAGCCGCTTCTGCAGGCAGCACAGGTTCTTCTTGAAACTCGGCCATGGTTATTCTTCTTCGTTGGGCGCCACTATCAGGTTCAGTGTTCCGCCTTACTTTCTTTGGAAACATGCACAGACCTGACTCGGAACAGGGAGCTACTAAAGCTATGTTCAATAAATGTGGGAAGTAGACAAGATGCACAGGAAGGGTATACGAAACCCTTTATTTTTCACTCTTTACAATAATTTCCGTACTTCGGAATACAGAAACCAACTACTTGTGGTCTGAACGTAAGAATATAAAAATATTTACCAAAATCTAACTTAACTTTGGAATAATAAACAAGGACCTACGGGGAAGATTGGCCTTATATAACAGGAAGCCGTATGTAGACAGAGAACTGTTAACACTACAATACGTTTAAAATTATCACGAGGATTAAACTCTGGCCTGAAGGCAACCAGCAACCGAGTAAACTCTAAGGTAAGCGGCCTGCTTCGACTAACTCCTTCCTCTCTCTCGCTTGGCAAAAAGCCACAACTTAAGTACTTGGCGTTCGCCAGACAAATTTGCATAAATAAGTTAAAGCTTTTAATTCTGGCCGGAAGTAGAAAATAAGAAGTGATAGTAAGATTTAAAATAAAAATAAACGTTAGTAAAACTTAAGATTCTTACAATACTAATACACATTTACGGAGTTAGCACAAGAAGAAATAATACTTTTTCTCTCTAGGAAAAAAATATCACTATATTTTTTATGTTAAATTCACCACTGTATAGGGTTGTAAGAAGTGTAATCTAATAGCAACAAAAATACAGCGCAGGTAATAATCTTTTCGGTATTGCTATCAAAATATAAACAAACGTATGAAGATGTACCCTCGAGCCCAAGCAAAGTCAAGGCGTTCCTAACCGCAGATGAAACGATGTCATCGAAAGCCATATTCAATCACGAGGAGGTATTTTCCCCATGTGCGTGGCATGGTACAAAATGCTTATATGCCGTCGGGGCATGCTGTATGCCGGAATATATGGTACTGCTTCTAATGTAGCAAGTATACAGCTATTTCAGCAGCTCGTAAATTAATTAAATAATAATTTTATCTCTACTGTTATTGTTACTTAAAATAATAAGAAGCAGGACTATTTTTATGAGAAAATCAGACATCGATTTTGCATAGGATCCAAACATTTCTAGCTCCGAAGATAAGTTTAGGTATTAAGTTTAAGAGGCTGAACGATTTAATTATTGTATATGAGCCGCACAGCTGTTTCGTTCTCGATAATAGAACTATGACATATGACTGATAGCTCGAATATAATAATACATCTTCAGCTGACCCAAAGTGAATATTCGATACCTTCATTTTTAGATAATTGATTTTTTCCTAATTGACAAGAACTCCTTAGAACAGTCCTTTTATTTTTAAGTTCTTTTAGCACAAATCCCTGAATTTCGAACAAAGCCTATGTACTCTGCCAAAATTATTCAAGCAATAAATCATTTTCAACCAATGTAGTTGTAGAGTTATTATGTTATTTTGAAGCAGGAGACATGAAAAATGAGCAATCTCTTTGCCGGAACTTTAACCTGGACCTCTCGAATACGCGCCGAGTGTCCTGCCTTACACCACGGAGGCATGCTAGAAGGAGGAAGGAAATACATTGTACACTTCCCCTTTTAGAGGCTGACTGGGTAGTAGGGGAACCAATCGCCAAATCCCGGTGGTCACGAACTATTGCTCATCACCTTAGTTCGGGCGCTACTGTAGAGTCATTAGGTTATTTTGAAGCAAGATCCATGGAAAATGAGCAGTGCCCTCCCCGGACTCGAACCTAGACCACTCGAATACGCGCCGAGCGTGCTACCGGTACACCAAGAAAGCATGCTGGGAAGAGGAAGAAAATACCTTCTGTAGTAATAAAATAAATACAGAGATAGCTTAATGATGACCGCTCATAGATAATGTCCATACCGTCAGACTTTGACATTTTATACAGTCAAACGAAAAACATTGTAACCATTAGTTGGGAACGTGAACTCAAAATTTTGAGAACTGGAAGCTTTCTACCTAAACTAAAACCTTTCTTGTATTTACCGTAAGTATATTAAAACACTCAATCGATTTCAAGGGCAGCTAAAGGTCCCTCCTCGTCAGGAGAACGAAATTCCTAGAAAGGGGGGAAAAGAAGGAATTTCGTTCTCCTGATGAGGAGGGACCTTTAGCTGCCCTCGAAATCGATTGAGTGTTTTAATATATTTACGCTAAATACAAGGTTGTTATTGCGATTTTGAATGTCACATTGACGTGTTTCTCTTCTCTTCTAAAACCTTTTCTCTTTAGAGAGCTGACATATTGGATAAATGCGCGCTTCCTTGTATCTGTGTTGCTGCTTGGAAGCAATTGCGCTGTGTTCTCTTCCTATCGCAACAGTATTAAAAAATGTAAACGTTCTGGAAATAGGCACAATTAGAGTGCCAAGTGAATTGTAGCCACAAATGTAAAATTTGCGTTCCAGCATCAGTACTTCTTTAAATTTTTCTTTCATTACATATATGCCCACTCTGTTACTCGTCTTCGTGAGCTCAGTTTTTTTTTATTATTATTATTCTTATATGTTGGTAAATTGGGCATTTTTTGCTTTAAAAATGATTGAACTATGTTGTTCTTATGTTCCGGTTAAGGTTTTTATGCCTTTAGTTAATCTGCATGCAATAGTTGTTACTTGTTTATATATAAGTTTGATGCAACCTGGATTTCTCATCAAATTACATCGTTTTAGTACGTACTCTCTGAAGCAGAAACACCTCTGTTTGAGGGAGAAAATATCTGGTCCAGTGGATGTGATTTATTTGGAGGTACTTCTGCATCGAGTATTTTAACGTTATGGGGGGGGGATGTCTGGCACAGACAAATTCTTGAGCTTTTAAATCGATATCTACTCTTAATTAACCAAGGATAATTTAAGTATGACTGTACTGCAAAGTTAAAAATTCTGCAAGATAGCTAAACAAATTACTCTAATTTATATACCTTAAGATACTTCAAGAATAAAATGTGTGTATTCTTAGCAACTCAAGTTAAGTAAATAAATAAATTTGATTACATTTTGACGAAATTATATTACAGTGTTGTTTGTTCTACAAGAAAATTCCTGTGTGTAGTATTTATAAAGATATTAAAGATAGTCATTATCATTTACACGTTCTATCGTTCTTTAGCGGGCAGGCATTATCAATCTGACGAAAATGCTTTTCGATCATGTTGTAATATCGAGAGGCCCCAACTTGTCAGCAACTGTGGTAGTGACTGCTACTAAGTGTGAATTTACAGAAAAACCTAAGAAGGGTTTAAAGCCCTTTTTATTCAACTTTTAAAATAACAGCTGCGTCCACTTGACGCTCACAAACTACGCCGACCCGGCGATTTAACTGAAACAGAATGTAGAACTGAAAAATAATGACTGGATGAATAAATAGCGAGATCACTCACTATCCACGAGGCTCTGAGATCTTAAACTAACCTAACCGCGTTCTAACATTACCGCTGAGATTCAGCGAGCTTACTGATTAACCAGTTGAAAGATCCAGCAAAATCTGCCGAGATAGGCACACAGGCCGACACGCGCAGTTCTTAAATTCTACCGAGAGACATTCACGTTCGCGATTCAAGAAGCACACCTACAATCTCGTTTCCCTTCTATTTAAACTCAACTTACTTCTGCTAAAATTTGAATATACTGCGCGCTCTATTACAATTTACATCCTCTAGCATTGGCAATTCTAGGGGAAAGTAAAGGCTGGACAGGAAAGATAACTTAAAATAAATGTTAGTTAAAATAAATATAAACCCTACAATGTAAAAAGCATTTTCATAAAGATTAACATTGCTTCCAATATTAATTTTTGAATCATTAAAAGACATATCTTTTCAACATTTAGTGTCAGTTTATTTAAGAATATAATAAATTCATTTTTCACATTTACAGTTTATCTATAGATGTAACATTTAAGATATAGGATGAAAATTATACAAAGACTTTTTTTTTTTTCCCCTTAAAGTCTGAATCATAAATAAAAATATTAATGAACAGAAAGTTTTACAAGTCAAGCTTAATGCTTAATCTACCTTTTCAATAAATGAAAGAAAGGAAGATTACTTTTAATGAAATTTATGTTGAATTCATCTTTTGTTTCTCGTAAAATACGATTAAATAAACATTAATTAAACTTTTATTAATAAAAGTAAATATAAGCGTCAGGAAGCAAGAGGTTTTCAATTGTATCATAACCAAAGCAAAATAAATAGTTTTCGATAGTTTTAAAACTATCAAAACTGTGCAATCATTTCTAGATACATTTTCGCGCTTATGATAAAAACCTTTCTCAAATACGTATTAATGCAATATAATCTTTGAAATGTGTAATTCACGGATACATAGTATATTCGATAAACAAATAGATTAAAAGAAACTTTTTTTCACACTTGAGTTGTCGATAAGATAATGAGATAAGAAGTCACAGTAAATTATTAACAGGACAGATTACCACAATTACTATCAGAAAGCAGAGGGCGTGAATATCATTACTATGGCATTCAATTCTATCAATGGTATATTAAAGGATGCCGTAGTTGTTAATAAAATAGACAGTAATGTAGTTTTATTACTGATAATTTTACTGTGCACCATCATATACCTTTACGGTACTAAGAAGAAATATAAATTGCCTCCTGGCCCAATCGGTTTACCAATTCTGGGGTACTTACCATTTCTAGGAAAGGAACCTCACAAAACATTGTCAGCCCTTGCTAAGAAGTATGGGAATGTATTTGGGTAAGTTCTGCATTTTGCGTGATGCTTTCACACGAGAAACAAATTCTCATAACGAGTAATATTATTTACTGTTACTATGTAAGATTTTATTTTGAATTTGAGATATGGTAGAAGCAAAGTTGCTAAGGTCTTGAAACAAATGTAATTATTTCCATAGTTTACAATTTAATGATGTAAGGTTTTCGTGAATTTTTCTTTATGCAATTTAAATAGGGTACCACTTCATGTAAAACATTCCATGTGAAGGCACATGTCCTCTCAGGAGGAAGCCCAAAAGTAATATAACTTAATTTAACAGTTTAATCCAGCGATCACAAACCGGTGGTCTGTAAAAACCTTTTGATAGTTCGCAAAAAAATTGGGACATTATTTATATTTTTATTATGATTCAGTTTAAAAAATGACGAGTAACAGACCTATTGTAGAATATGCATTATACTTTTTTTTTTAATTTTAGCTACTACTTTTAGGGAAATACCTTCTGAATTTAACGACTTTTTTGCTACTTTTGCAGGTGTATCTAGCGACATTTGAAAGTGAGAGTAGGTATCCATGGGTATGCAATTATCAATAATAGCTGCTGCTGTTATCAATAATAGCGCGAACTAATTCTCTTTCATTTTAAATTACAAACATATGCTATATTAGTCGTTAATAACAGTTTTTCTCCCTGTCAATATGCAGCTTGATGGATTTTTATGAGAACCATCTGCAATCTTGTTTAGAATTGCATCACTGGAAGTTTCCGTTTTTGTTTTGTCTAACTGTTGACCGATGGCGCCATTGCTGAGTAAGCGATGATTATTATTTTTACAATAATTAAAAATTGGCGGCATAACACTTTCAGTTTATTGATATTGCTTTGCGTTTGCCGGTTTTATTCTTGCTTTTCGTGAAGTTCCTTTTCAGTGATATAGAAATGTGAAGCTTTCTGTACAAGAAAGTAAGATTTGTGTACTTTTCACATAATTTTTCAATGTGAACGAAATATGTGTATGAATGAAACGTTAATAGTGTTTTAATTGTTACTCATAATCAGGAGCGTAGCCTGAATTTCTATAAAGGCATGCTACTGAACACCATATGTTTCGAAAATTATATTAACAAATGAAAATTAGAATTACATATATTGGAAATTGAATATTGTTTTTGCTTATTAATATGTTGTTAAACTTTGCATAATATGAAAACAATTTAATGCATTTAATCAATATTATAAATTCCTCAGATTTAAGGTCTGAAATGGATATTTTTCAAGTACGGTTTGTAGGCAGGTTACATAAGTCTCTTGCTTCATTTATGCAGATCGCAGTGTGATATACACTCATGTCCATAAATTAAGGATAATTCGGAGTCACGCGGAAATCGAACTCTAAAATAAATATATCACCTTTAAAATCACTACACACATCTTCAAGAATCATATGCAAATTTCAGGAAGTAACCAGATGACACCGATGGTACGTCACAATGGCGAGAGTGTAAGAGAGTGATATATAAGAAATGCAGGCAAAGAAGTAAAATTGTTCGCAGGCGCTTTATAAGCATTTCAGTGCAATAACCGAATAGTTATGACACAAAGGACTCATTTGGATGATTTTTTACGTGGTAGAATTATCGGCCGTTTGGAATGTGGGCGTACCCAACTGGAAGTATCAGACGAACTTGGAATTGCCCAGAGTGTCATCTCCAGGCTTTGGAAACGATTCCAAGATGATGGTAATGTGAGTAGACTTTACAGCACAGGTCGCCCCATAGTTACAGCGCCGAATAAGGACCGGTATTTGGCAGTTACTGCCAAAAGAAACAGGCGGAGCACAGCCTGAGACCTGCCTGTCTCTTCAGCCACTGGTACGACAATTTCAAGGCAGACCGTGTACAGACGCTTAGGGCAGATTGGTTATATGTTCGTAGACCTGTCAGATGCGTTCCACTTACTGCAACTCACTGTCGCCTGCGGTTAGCCTGGAGTAGAGAGCATGCACTGTGGACACCGCAACAGTGGGCTTGTGTGATGTTTTCCGACGAGTCCAGGTTTAGCTTGCAGTCTGATTCTCGCCGGACTTTCATATGGAGAGCTCCAGGTACCATTCGTTACCACCAAGAAAGCATCATTGAACGACACCGTTCACGGTGGTGTAGGAGTGCTCGTTTGGGGTGGAATTATTCTGGGTTCCAGAACTGACCTTCATGTTCAAATTGGAATCATGACAAGCCATATCTATCGGGACGTCATTCTGGAACAACATGTACATTTGTTTCGGGGTGCCATGGGCACACAATTTGTGTTTATGGATGACAACGCCAGTCCTCACCGTGCAAAATATCGTAAGCGAATGCCTTCAATCGGAGGATATCACCCGTACAGACTGGCCAGCATTCTCACCAGACTTGAACCAGTAGAACACGTGTGGGACATGCTTGGAGTTGCCGACGAGTTGCAGCCCGTCAACCTCCTTCTACATGTCTACCGGAACTTCGGAGTGCATTGCTTTTTGAGTGATGTAATATCCCCCAAGATCAGATCGATAATTTGATACTCAGCATGCCTAGGCGTTGTACGGACTGTATTGCATCGTCTGGGAGACATACAATGTATTAACAATCAAACCAACCATGTAATATTGGTTTTTTTGTAAATAAGTTTTTTTTTTTTTTTTTTTTTTTTTTTTTGGTAATTTGCTCCAGGGAGAAAAAAATCGCTAATTTTTTTAATAAATATCAAACATATAGCATCTTTTTTTTGCTCTTTACCTTTTGTTTAATAGATAAGCTTTACAAATAAGTCAAATTTGTTTTGCTTCTAACTCTTCCTTTGCCTGATTTTGCATTATCCTTAATTTATGGACATGAGTGTATTTGTAAGTATAAGCAGCAAACGTATACTTGCAAGTATAAGCAGCTCAAATTTTATCAATGTGAATCATTGATAAAATTTGAGCAGTGGTACATTTAATGCTGATATTAGCAAAATCAGTTATTCAATCTTATAAATTTCATTCATCATGTTGTGAATGATCACATAACTTGACATAACATAAACTTACGTGTAAGTTTGTTTTCCGTCTCAAAAGAAAAATTGAAAATATCCAGTTCAAACAATTTACGAGACTTGTTAAATATGATTAGTCAAATTTCGGAAAAACTATAATTAAAAGAAGGAAATTTACCTGCGTTCCGAAAGCTCGTCAATTCATATCTATTATTAGATTTAATCTTTTCCCATGCTTACTTGCAGTCTTACAAATATAAGTAACTATTTTATATATTCCAATACACATTCTGTTTTGCAGGAAAGGAGCTTCTATTTTTGTTTCTCGTGTCTATTGGCATTTTAACACTTGACTGTGCTTTTAGAATGAAATAAATTGAAAAGCCACTGTTTTATTTATACGGTATTCATATGATGTTTTTAACTGCAGTATATAAAATCATTTCAAGCAATAAAAAATATCTATTTGTGGAACCAGCAGACTGATCAAGACGTCCAAAGGCAGCTTTTGTTTTATGAAGGTTTGTTTATATAATTAATCAATCGATTTACTATTTTGTTTCTTTTATAAAGTTATACAAATTTGTTCATTTACTTATTTTACCGAATTTTACCTTTAGCTATTCTGTATCGTTCGTAAGTGGAAAGCTTTAAACCTATATTATGGTCAGGGCTTAATTTCTAAAATTAGAAGTGAAAAAATCAAATTATTTTTCAGCAGCAAAATAATCCGGAATTTCTTGAACTCTTGTCCGACGATGAGTGGGTAGTCAAGTTTGCATATCTGGAAGATGTTTAATCTCATTTAAACGAACTAAACATATCCTTGCATGAACAGCTTTTAAAGACGTGTTTACAGAACGAGGTAAAATAGATGATTTAAAAAAAATCGCCGTGACAAACACTGTTGGCGAAAGAAGATCTACAGATGGTTTATAAATTTTTATGAATATATGGCAGGGAAGGATCTCAGTCAGCAAGTGGTATAAATAATTCAGCAGCACTTGCAGTCACAGACAGAATTTTTTGTTTTTATTACCCAAAGGAAGAAGAGCCTAGGCAAGGAAATATGTGGATAACAGATCTATTTTCAGCAAACATTTTCAGCATCTGTAACAGCAATTAAAACTCAGTACCGATCTCGGCTTGAAATAAACGCGGCTCTCCGTTTATCAATGACGTCACTAAAACCCAAAATCTATAGACTGATTTCAAACAAACAGGAACAAATATCACAGTAAAATATGTAATAATATTAGATTTTTCATTAAAAAAATAATTACTCTATAACCATATAAAATAAATTAATGCTAATTATTATTGTATAAATGTATTTACTTTTTTTTAAATTCATATTAGTGATCCGCCAAATATAAAATTATATATGTAGAGGTCCGGGAAGTTATAAGGGTTGACAACCGCGGCTCCATCCACACTCAAACCACACTCGCGAGATGTGTGAAAATTGAGGTAGTGTAAAAGAAGAAACAACATGGTTGAATGATTTAGTAGATGATAACTATGATAACTAATATATTGCTGTATCCGTCACTTTCACGATTACCTTTGTGCTTTCCTCCGTCCACTAAGGCAGCTGGACATGGATAATTCCATCCTGGCCTGATTCTATGTATATTTTCTTATATGTAAGGTAAATATGAGAAGGTTTACTTCATCAAGTCTTCCACGAACGTATCCCTTTCTGTGGAAAGATAGTCCTTGTGTGCTTTGTATTCAACTAAAGAAACAAACCGATAAACTTCTCTATCTGCTATTTCATACGCGTGAAAAAAGTTCGTTAAGAATTTGACAAACTTTTCGGTAGGTTTGATTTAGTTGCAGGTTAGTATTGATGAACTAATTAGTCGTTTAGTATACGGAAGCTAGCTATTTAATCATTCAGTATACGGAATACCTTCAAAATTTGGTAAAAATGAAATTCCTCTACTATATTTATATTACAGTTGCAGTAGATCTGCCCTTTTCTGAGTAGAGACTTAAATTATCGCCATATTGTGCTTTTTTAAAGTAATTCTTTTTATGAATAGTTGTTGTAGGTTGATTAGTAACCCCTTAGCCGGGTTTTGTTCTGTCAAGTCTGGTATGACTCGAACTGAACAAACCACTCATTAACTCGAACTTCGGTTTTAGGGGATTATAGGTATTTCTGCTTTGCAGTGGAACTTCAGCATACTATTGCACTACAAATCAGTAATTTAAAAATCTCATTTTGTCTAGAGGCGAAGGATCACGAAATGTTTCTTCATGATTCCGCAGTCTAAATTAATTACTAATATTTCCTTTGCAAAAAAGGAAGCATTTGAAAAACTTAGGCTAAAGAATATCCCAGCTAAAGTAAGCAGAGGTATAGAAGGAAAGTCATCCCAAATAATGTTGATGATGTTTTATTGCTATTATTGCACTGATAATTAACTAATTATGCATAACAAATTTAAAAAATCGCTGATTTAACATTATGATTTGTTTTCGTTCATTTTTAAATACAGAACATCAAAATCTGAGTACAGTCGTACCTCGGTATACGTCATGATTCTGTTACAGATCCTTGGACATAACAAAATGAATTCTTCCGACAATAAATAAAGAATAATTTATCCGTTCTTAGGAAAAAATCCTATTGCTATTATTATAACACCGATCAATACTAAAATACAAATGCCGTGAGTAAAATATATACTGTACATAAATATTTTTTTAAGCAGCTCGAAAACAATTTTTCAACATATTCTAATGTGTCTGATTTCTGCGGTTGTTCTGTGGTTTCAAAGCGGTTGTATATCGGGGTACTGTTTTTATTTTTCTCTTGATGAAGGAAAATCATTTGTTTGTCTACGAGATACAAAAGTCGTAGAATAGAAAGAAATATCTACTTTTCCAGCTATAAATATTTAATTTACTTTAATTTTAGAATATGTCATAATTTGGTAGGTCTTGTATTATTCATAAAATATTTTCTCAACTATATGTCGAGAACGTTAATGATAAGAACTTCCTAGAAAATAATTTTAAAAGGCTAAGAGGCAATTATAAAAAAGAAATTAATTTAGCTAAGAATCGTTTATGGGATGATTTGTGTTCCCAAACAAATTTAAATCGACCATTTGGCATTCTCTACAAAGTCACTACTGATAAATATAAATCTGCCTTAACATTGAGCCAACTTAAAAAAGATGATGGCTCGTTTACTAATTCTATTCAAGAGAATTTTCTGGTTAGATACCATTTCCCAGAGGATTTGGATGTAGATGATACGGAATTTCAGAAAGAAATAAGACAAAGCTTTTTAATTTATGAAAATAATTTTAATGATTTAAGATTTTCAAAGGATGAAATTGAAGAAGTAGTGGATTCAATGGATAAAAGTCGTGCTCCAGTATTGGATGGTATCTGTTTAGACATTATAGAGGAAATTTTAAGAATTGATTCTACCTTTATGTGTAGAATATATAATGTATGTTTATACCATGGAATTTTTCCGAAGGTTTGGAAAATTTCCTCTTTGATACTTTTTAATAAAGAGGGTAAAGAGAGGAGTGATCCTTCCTCCTATAGGCTGATTTGTCTTTTGTCTGTTTTTGGAAAGATTTTGGACAAACTTATGACCAAAAGGTTATGGTTCCATTTAAATTCTACGCATGCATTGAATCCTTTCCAATATGGCTTTATGGAAGGTAGAAGTACTACACTTGCTATTCAAGATCTTTTGGAAAAAGTAAAAAAAAATAAAAAGAATAATTTACATACTGCATTGGTTTCTCTTGATGTTAGGAGTGCCTTTAATAATGTATGGTGGCCGTATGTACTTCATCAATTAAAGAGATTCAAATGCCCAATGAATTTATTTAAATTATTTTCAAATTATCTAAGTGATCGTTTAGTAATTCTTCCAGAAGGAAATATTTGTATTTCAAGAAAGTACAGCAAAGGTTGTCCTCAAAAATCAAACTCAGGTTCTTTGTTATGGAATTTTATTTTGTGATTCTTTATTCGAATTACATTTTAAAGATAATGTTGTGATTCAAGCTTATGTAGATGACATAATTGTGATAGTTTCTGCCAGTGGTCGTCATACAATCGACCAAGACATTGACCATACTTTGGACTTGATTAATGAATGGTCCAAAAAAGTTAAATTGGAATTTGATCACAGAAAATGTGCAATAATGGGTATTGCAAAGAAAGGTAAAATGATCACATTACCTAGAGGAAGACTTAATGGGCATTCGATAAAATGTGTTAGACAAATTAAATATCTTGGAGTATTGATCGATGATCAACTTTCTTTCTTGCCTCATTTAAAGATGATCAAATTACAATGTGCTGCGATTTTGAATAAACCTTATGCTAATAAATACTTAGTAGTGATATTAAGATGATATTCTACAAAAGGGGAATTGAGAGAAAGATTTTGTATGCTTGTCCTGCTTGGTACAGAAATAATGTGAGGATTAACAATTTGATGATACAGATTCAAAGACTTGCTATGCTTAGCATTACAAAATGTTTTAGAATTGTTTCCAGTGCTTGTTTATTTACATTAAGTAGCTGTGAGCCTATTTATTTGATAGCACAAAGGGAATGTGTTATATTTAATTTAAAGAATGGTAAAAGTTTTGAAATTGAAACTGATTTTGATTTTCCTGATGACATAAATAATGTTGACATTTTAAGTCTAAAGAATGTTAAGCATCCTGCTGTATATTCAAATTTGGAATGGGACAAGAAAGTTCTTTCAGGTGAAGGCCTTGAAATCTTCACTGATGGTTCAAAGATTGCAGGAAGAATTGGATGCTCTTTTGTTGCATTCTCAAATGGAGATTTAAGTACTGTTCAAAAACTTCGTTTAAGTAATAATTCTTCAGTTTTTCAAGCGGAAGTTTACGCTATTTTAAAGTCCTTGGAATGGATCTTGGGAAAGAATTCTCAAGAAGAAATTAATATTTATTCAGATAGCTAAAGTGCAATTCAAGCTATTGTTGCCTCAAGATTTATACGGATTTGGTTTTTAAAACATATAATTTGTTTTTGGAAGTTTCTAAGAAAAGAAATATTTATTTTCATTGGATCCGTGGACATATTGGTCATTCAGGGAATGAATTAGCAGATTTTCATGCAAAGCAGGCTTCTAAAAAAAGAGGCTATAGATGATATTCTTCCAACTTCGTTTATTTCGTTTAAAAATTCTCTAAAGATTAAAGTCCTACAAGTTTGGCAATCATTATGGGATAAAGATTTGAAAGGTAGATTTTCTTATAAGTTCATAAAAGAAATTAAAACAAAAAGATGGTTTGGAAATAGTTATCTCAATCAATTTCTTACAAATCATGCTCATGTTCCGTTTTATTACAATAGAATTAATATTAAATCTATTATTTGCCAGTGTGGATCTAAAGAAGTATATGTTGAACATGTACTTAATTGTGCTTTATTAAAGGAAAGATGGTTTAGATTTTTACCAAAATTGACATCCGAATCGGATGTAAGTTAAAATCTACAAGGATGAAAAATCAAGAAAAGGAATAAAAGATGTTATGAAAGTTATTACAGAAACAGAAGAAGATTTGTTTCGAGAAGATTATAATATTTTGTTTATGTAATATTGTTTTTAATAAAGATATTTGCTGGCGAGGCTGGCAAATCTTTTATTCAGGGACGGGTACAGTATGGTGGTTGAATTAATAAATGAGTAGTTCCACTAATCCCTGCATATACCGCAAGGTTCGCAGGAGTTATTAGCTAGTCATACTATAGTTATATGAACATTTGCTGACAAAAGTTCTGTTTTTCAGATTGTACTTTGGTAGGCAATATGCTGTTGTTATAAACGAATGGACAGCTGTTAGAGAGGCTTTCGGCCAATCTGCCACTACCGACAAACCTCCAAATTTCTTCGACTTAATGCCAAATGGTTTGGGTAAGTATTTCAAACAATCAATAAAAATACTGAAAACATCACTGTTATTTACTACTTTTAGAATTTTAATATCTTAAAAATTTTTTTTTGAAGTTTAGCTTATCCGTAAGTGTTACATTTTATACTTATACTGCAGGTATGCCGTCTGGTATTTAAGTTGTACAATATTTCTGAGTTCGGATATTCTACAACGATATTTTTCTTATATCAAAGAGAAGCCAATGTAAAATTTAAAACTAGATAAAAAAAGCAAACTTAGATTTCCATAGATTTTATTGAAATTCTATTGATTTCGAGAGCGATCAAATAACGTATATATATATATATATATATATATGCTGTTGTATGATCTTAAATTCACTTTGTTCGAAAACAAGTGAATTTGCGCAATAGCTGCAAAGTAAGATAATAAGAATTTATTTACTAAAGAAATATTGATTATATTGTCTCCTAATATAAATTTAGTAGAAGTATTAAAAATGAGTGAACCCATATGTAGGAAGTTTAATTCGGAAAATTGTGTTTTAAAGTAACTTATATATATATATACGTATATATACGTTTCTCATACTAAAATTTAAACAAACAGCAAATGCTGTGCCAGTTGCCAAGGTGGTGAACATTCGCGAGCAAATGATCTTTCTCTTTTTAAGCTATGATTCTTCTTTAACAAAGAAAAAAAATAAGTTTTGAGACATTGAAATAACGCACATTCTCGAACAAAAAAAAAAAAAAAATTAATACATATTGAAGAGATAAAAGGCACTCAGAAAATTATCGAATAATACCTCGAAACACACCTGTTACTAAAAAAGTAAAGTATTTCAGACTATGATTGCCTCTATGAATTCGACTGTGTCCCAACAGCAGTTGATTTCATCTTCGCGTTTCTTGAGATATGTTGCGTGTGACTGCACCCTCTGCATCGTTAGATATAAGCTGCTAAGCTTTTGAAACAGAAGCTCAAGACAAAAATTTTGTGGGATTAAGTCTGCTGATGAAAGGACGAATTTTTGCTTCTCTAAGAGATTCTCACGTGGAAGATATGCTGTAATCTTCATTATTTTGTTTCAAGTAGATCATTTCCTGAATTAGTGATTGTCTCCATGCTCTATCGGAACAGTTACGATAAGCCGAGTCTTATGTCGCCAAGGCAATAGTCACTACAGTCTGTTACTTTCCAATAGGCAGTTCAAGGTCATTTTCTGTCACTCGATTTGACTCGGAGCAATGGGAACAATAGCTGCGGGATAAAGGTCGTGTCGCTTAATTTTCTCCCCATTTCATTTTCATTTAACCTGTTACATTTAATGAAAAGCGTGCGAATGAAGGCTGACTTAAACTAGAGTCTCGATGAGGCGGAGAAAATAAATGTTGTGCTGTGATGACGACATGAATTACGATCACAAATGGAAAAAGTTGGCATCAGCCTTCGAAGTTCCTATTTTAAACTAACGGACTGCAATTAAGACACAGTCTAATTTCGCGTCAAAGAACATGAGGCATATGTTAGAAAAAAGGAAACACAGAAGTCTTCTGTTGCTCAACATTGTTGGTCCGAAAATCACACTTTCAATTTTTCTGCTGCCAAAATTATTCAAAAAACATCTTCCATTGGAGAACTGGATTTTCTAGAGGCATTTCACATTCATAAAAATCTTTCTGTTCTAGTTAACGATCCTAATTCCAATCCAAATTTGCCTTTGGCTTTTAGAGAAATTATGTTTTAGTTCTGGTTTCGCCAACAGATGGCGCCACTTGCTTATTCTTGTCCAGGCTTTCTTATCTTATCTAATCATTATTTCCTATCTTGTTCATTTGCGGTTTTGCAGCTGAAGATGATGGTTCGGTAAAACCATCGAAACTAGTCCTGTGAAAATTTTGTAAATATAACGCTGATTTTTGTTGTTTGACTTCTGAATTGGTAACGGACTGCAGTTGATGCGTACACGACAACGGCACTCGAAGAACATTTTGAAAGGCTGAAACCGTAGTATATATGCAGTGAATAATTTTAGAGATATAATTTAGATAATCTGAATGCCTTTCATGCAGCTGTACATATTAATTTTACTTTACTTTATGAAAGAATTAAGGAGACGTAATGATGATTGTAGGTTAATATATCGCTGCCTAGGAGCGCAAGTATTAAAATTACATTTCGCACACTTTGGCTATTAATTCACAACTAATAAAGGAACAAATATTTCAGCATTCATCTTGAAAAACCACCATGCAAAGTTTAACTCTCTTGGATATCATCTAAGTTAAACTGTATGTAGACGATAAACGACTTATCGCTAAGTGTTTAGTATAACAGAAACTTGAGAAGAGTGTAAAAGACCTCTTTATTTAAAACTACAGAAGATGAAAAGAAGGCACTTCTAGTACCTGCGATTCCTCGAACATTATGGCGAGAAACTCAAAATCAGTAAGTCAAATGAAAAGTTTATGTTTAGATAAACTAATAGCCAAAGCTTACACAGAGTAATTTAAAGCAAAGTTAGCTTAGAACTTCATTGGCGTGGATTTAAACTATCGGCAATTATAATGCAATGCCGAAGACAGGAATTCTTATCTAAAGTAGAAAAACCTAGTAAAGAAGCCTCAAGAGGCAGACCAGGCCTTCTCTTAACAATCTCAAAACCTCATTTCAGTACAACCGAACTAATTGCATTCTGGCGGGTAAATGGAAAGAGAAAAGTGACAGCACAGATTCAAAACATAAAATAACTGGTTATTCAAATGAAAAGAACTTCATATCTTCGAATTTAAGTAATGCTACGAAGATCTTTTATGACCTTGGTAAGGATTTAAATTTTATCTAACTAAGAGCTAACAATTGTTTGAGCTTAATTATTAAAAAAAAAGCTACTCTAATTACAAACAGCTGAGTCTCTGCAAGACAATTTCTTCATATCATATTTTAATATTAACAACAGCTGCTCTCCTTCCAGTCATTTAAAAGGAAAAAAAAATTAGAAACCCTTTTCAGTTCAACTTTATCAAAATCTTTCATACATTTTTTAGTTATTCTACACTTCATTTTTAATTACCCTCTGCTCTCCAGTAAAATGTAATGAAATGTACGAGTGTATTTCATTTGTAAGTATTTCAATACTACTATCTAATCCTACATGTTAGAAGTTTAGGTACACTAGACCTAAAGAACTTTAAATTCAAAGCTATACCTAACCACCTAATAAAAAAGATCATTAAACTTTTGCACTGGCTCGACACCCAAACTTTTAATTTCATGCATACTGCTAGCTTTCGCTTTAACTTAATTATACGCTACTTTGCTTGCTTGCACGTGTAAGCACGATTGTAAATTATTTAATTGTTATTAGACAAAATATCTATTGAGAAAATGGCAACAGCTAATTTCTGGATGTCGTTCTATTTATAATTTAAAAAAAGATATTCAGATGATGTACGCTTGAAATGTTTAATGGTACGATGCAGTAAGTACGTTTGTTATATTATGTACGTTTACGAGTATGTTACGCGTAAGTTATTAAGATTTATCTTTAAATAAATGTTTGTCTTTTACAACCATTTTATGAGTGATTAATTTAACTACAAAAGGAAGTTAACATAAATCAGAAGCGGGATTATTCTGAAACCTAAGCCTAAAGCTACAAGAATTTGCTATACGTACTAAATAAATTGAAAAGAATTTGAATTTCAAGGTATGTATGTGCATTGATTGATGTAGCATATTTATTATAGAATTTAATTTTGTTATTTTTTTATCATTTTGGGAACAGAGTTTATTTTTTTTCATTTCTTTAAAAATTTTGAAATATATTTAGAACGTCAAACAAACTTATAAAATTCCAATAACTGTGTTCTACTATGTTGTCTAATTGGAAGTTAATAATAATAGCATATATATATAATGTGCATTTTAATGAGTACGAAAATGTCTATTTTCGGTAAGGCAAAGAAATGCGATTTAAGAATATTAGCTGAAGAATTGACAGAAGATGTAAATGAGAGTCATAAAATGAGCGATTTGAAAAAGATAATTTTGGCTAGCAAAGAGTACGAAGAAGAATGCGCCAAAGAATGGTTAAATATTATAATAAATGAAAGAAAAGAAAAAGAAGAAATTGAAGAACGAAAACGTCAAGAAGAAATTGAAGAACGTAAGCGTAAAGAAGAAATTGAAGAACGTAGGCGAAAAGAAGAAATTGAAGAACGAAAACGTCAAGATGATGAACGTAGGCGAAGAGAAGAATACGAGGAACGAAAACGAAAGTATGAAATGGAATTTGAACTGCAAAAACTACGTATTGAAGCAGAAAGTAGATCTACAAATTCTGGCACCAATGAAAATGCTAGTGGCGCACACATGAATCCAAAGTTAGAGCTTCATCGTTTGATGCAAAAATTTAAACCTGACGAGAATGATATCAGTTTATATTTAATCATGTTTGAACGTTTGGCTAAACAAGTTGAAATACCAGAAAATACATGGGTTACTCATTTGTTTGGCTTATTGCCGTATGATATTGCTCAGTTAATCGCCAGAGAAACCGATGAGATTGCAAACGATTATAAAGAAGTTAAAAGGATCTTATTAAAATGGTACAAGATGACACCTGAAAAATTTCGCCAAAACTTTTTTACGCACAATAAGAGTGTAGGAAACACATGGAAGAATTTTGCGTATGAGTTAAGAAATTTTTTTAATGAATGGATAAGCGGAATTAAAGTAGATACTTTTGAGAAACTTAGCGACCTTATTGTAGCGGATCAGATAAAACGTAAAAGTGTCTCCAGAAGTAAAAGATCATTTTATTGACATATGGTCTGAGTTGATTTCACCAATTGATTTAGTTGAAAAACTAGATGATTATGATACCTTGAAGTCAACTTTCAACAATAAACAACCGCGTAAAGAAGGGTCTTACGACAAACGAAACTCCTTTAAAGATGGTCGAGTTGCTACAATCAACGAAAAGAAAAAACTCTACGGTGTCACACATAATGAA